AAAATAATTTCTGATTTTCCAATTCAATTGAGCCTCTGAGAAGCCCAGGCTCTCCAGTCCTACCTGAGAAGTCTGTATAAGATTTTAGATTCTGGATGCCTTCTCTATAAAGGATGAGAGCTGCTTCCTGATGGGCAGAGAGACTAGCAGGAGAGGAGGAACAGGATAGGAAGACAGGTGGGGGCTGGAGATGTACCTTTTTTTCTTTAAATGGACTATCAGACTCCCTTAAGGTTGCAATGGAAAGCTACAAGGACGTTACTGGCCTTTCCAACCTACCCACATACTTTTGTCCCCCTGTACCAAATGTGAATGTGGCACAGAGAAGGGAGGATAAGACACTCCTCAGAGTCAGGGGGAGTTTTGGGCAGGACCTTACCTTTCTCTCCTGTGTAGGAGATGACGTAATTGTCCACGGTGGCAATGGCTGGCTGCCACATGGCCAGGGCTTCCGAGTCAGTGATGTTGGCTGTCACCAGGCCAGATGGGCCATCCAGAGCTTCAGAGAGAGATGTTTGGAGAGGGGGCAGTCAGAGGGTAGGACATCAGACCACAGCTGTCTACACTGCTTGTGGACTGCTGGTGTTAGGACACAGTGTCAGTGGCATGGGATGGTTCAGAGTCCTGAGCCTGGAGCCAGGCTGACCTGGCTTTGAGTCCTGACTCCTTCCCTTGCCGGCTGGGCTACCTTGAGTCTCTATTTTCTCACCTGTAAAATGGGGTTACTAATTCTGGCTGGCTTTATCCTCAGTGTTATTTTGATTTTCACATCATATTCTGGGTGGAAAGAAGCTGTGTAAACTGAAAAGGGCTGACCACATGACAAGGATTATCATTAAAGTTCATATCACCTTCCCCAGGGAAAGAACTTGCACAGAGGAGTCTTACATAGTTAAGACCGCTTGAGCTTTTCCTGGGCTTTGAGTAGCATCTGAGGTTAGGTGGCTTGTTGATAATATGGAACCAGGCTCTGGAGGCTGGTAGTCCCAGGTTCTATCAGGGCTTCTCTGCCTAGTGCCTCTGTGCCCTCGGGAAAGTCATTTACCTTCTTTGTTAAACGGTGGCTGCTACAAGGGTTAACTAGACAACATGTGTAAAATGTGCTAGGGGAAGCTGTCAGTAATTGCGGTTGTTATCAATATGACTATTAAAGTTTTTTGAGTCTTAGTAATAATTTTCAAATGCTCTGTATTGCCCAGCACCCCTTCCTTAGAAGCCAGACTGAATAGGACTAATTCCCTCTTTCTTTTGCACTTACTACTCACTGCCATGACAGCCCTGGGAGGATGGAGGTGGCTGTCATCAGCTCATGTCACAGGAGGCACCTGAGCCTCGAGAGATGCAATAACTGACCTAAGAATCAGATGTGGCAGAGTAATTTTGGAGGCTCCTGTCATCTACTCTGTGTTCCTTCCTGTTGCCTTGTGCATGTACAGAATCTCTTTTAACTGCCCGTGGCAGTGGGGCCTTGGGAGGAAATCATTCAGCTTTTGCAATCTGTTGCCATGGAGAATCCATGAATGAAAGATTTCTTTGGGGAAATAAGGGCCTGTGTGGCAGGGTGGGCAGGACTCTGGGTTCAGACAGGATGTTTTAATTGCATATTATCAACTCTTTTAGGCTATTAGGATATTTTTAAAATTTCGTATGAGGCCCATTCTTTGGATCCCTTAATGGATTGAACTGGATAACTGTTCATATATCAAAGGATAAATTGTTTAGAGACATGGCTTGTCTGAAGAGAAATTTTCCACTTCATTCTTCTTCAGTGGGATTCATTATTTCTCCCTCTTTACAGTGTACTGTACAAATCAGGTTATAATAGAAAAATAACTCTTTATTTAAAAATACAGGATTTGGAGTCAGACAGTCCTATGTTCAAATTTGGTTTCAGCATTTACTAATTATGTGGCCTTGGCCAAGGTATTTAATTTCCCCAGGTCTCAGTTGTCTCCTCTGTAAAATGGGAATGATAATAGCCGTGAGGATTAAATGTGGAGGGTTTAGTAACAGTGCCTGGAATGCAGTAGCTGACAAACGGAGAGTAGCTCTTTCACAGCTGTCACCATTACACGCCTATGTGAAGCACCTGATTTGAGGGATCCTCACAATGGTTTCACATGACAGTCAGGGAAAGGAAGGAGCCTGTGGACTAATGTAAATGATTGTCTACGTTTACAGATGCTTTACAGATAGAGTTTCATGTGATCCTACCGCACTCTACGAGGGAAGCAGAATTGTGCCTATTTTGCAGAGAAGGAAACTGGACCCCAGAAAAATGAACTGTCTGCTCAGGTAGCTAGTGAGTGGTAGAACTGGGATTTCAACCCAAGTTACTATGACTCCCCAAATTGGGCTCTTTCTTCCATAACAGTCCAGGAAACAGAGACCCAAGTAGGTTAAAGATGCACCTAAGTTTACCCAGCCTATGAGAGGCCAGGATGGGTCAGAAAGAATGAGGCCCCTGACACTCTACATCCACTTAACTTTCCATTAGGATTTCACAAATAAAATCTTCCCCAAATTGGGCTCTTTCTTCCATAACAGTCCAGGAAACAGAGACCCAAGTAGGTTAAAGGTGACCTAAGTTTACCAGCCTATGAGAGGCCAGGATGGGTCAGAAATGAGGCCCCTGACACTCTACATCCACTTAACTTTCCATTAGGATTTCACAAATAAAATCTTCTTCCCAGCTGCTGAGTCATGAGCTGTAATGCTGAAGGGGAGAGATAATATAGCATGCACAAGCTGTCTCTGAAAAACAAAAACCAAAAATCAACATACCTGTGGTGAGTGACCCTGAGATAGGTTCACTTTCCTCAAAGCCCTTCATGGCAATGACACTGACAAGGTACTCCACCCCAGGTGTGAGTTTCACCAGCCTGGTCTGAGTCTTTGTTCCATCCACAGTTACCATGGAGGGTGTACCTGGAACACAGTGAAAGCAAGATCAGGAATGGTGGATCTCATGGAAGCCTATTCATTGTTGTTGGCTGTTTACAAGTTGGAAATGAAACTATATCTTTATTCAGTATCATTTGCTTGACTTCTTCTCAATTGCTTCTACCCTCTGGTATAAGGGAAGAGGCCTTACTTTTTGTAGAATGCTTTTCCTACTGGCGCAGATGCCAAAAACCAAGCCAGGAGAGGAAAAAACATGATGTCACAACGCACTAAAAATGGCAAGTTTTCGTTCAGTAGAGAGCTGGCATATGGTATAAATTTTATTTTCTTTATTTTATTCCCCACAAAGAATATGGGAAGCTCACTATGTAATGTGTACCTGATCTATTTAACTCATCTTCTTGGTTTAGGATTATATAGACTCCCTTACTAGCAGAAATTCTACTTAAGAAAAAACAATGGTCATAGTCAAGTGTGTGTTCTTATATTAAGAAGTCCGGAATTTATATTTCTTAGAATTTCAAGGCGGGTGGGAAATTTGCATATCAGCTGGTTAAACTCCCCACAGAGATGCTAGTGTTCCTCTGAAGAGGTTATCAACCATTCTCTCTTTATACACTTCCCGTAACAGAGAGCTTACTACCTGCCCGGATGTCTAGACAGATTCGACTGCGTTTCGTCCCTGTGGTCTCTGAAGAGGTTATCAACCATTCTCTCTTTATACACTTCCCGTAACAGAGAGCTTACTACCCGCCCGGATGTCTAGACAGATTCGACTGTGTTTCGTCCCTGTGGCCTCTGTTGTAGTCCGTATGCTCTCAACCAGAACTCACAACTCTGCTAAGTCACAACTGCCCATTCTGTACTGAGACAGATAGATTTGGACACCCAAGGGCAGATCCTCACATATATCCAAGACTAGCTTTTCCAATAAGTATGGTCAAAGACAAAATGGCTTACGTATATAGAGTATTTTATCATTGTGCACAAACAACTGGGGGTCTATTTCTCATAGAATTTTAGAATTTCAGGCCTGGAAAGGATCTTTATAAATTGACCCTTCACAAGGTAGTCTCTTCCAAGCATGTCATATTTTACACATGGAGTCTCTCCAGATGGTCTCATAGATAAGAAAGTAGTTTTCTTTGGTCATAATGTTTTGGGGATAGGAATTATCAGAGCCTCTTCAACTATTCCACCCAAACCCTCCCCGTTTCTGCTCTCCCTTCCCCCCCGGAGCCCCTTACCTCCTGTAATGGGCACATAGGTAATCCGGAAGTTCTCCACCTGGGCAGTGGGTGCCATCCAGCTGACAGTGGCTGAGTTTTCAGTGATGTCTGAGAAAATTATTTCCTTTGGTGAGCCCATGGCTGTCAAGGAGAAAACAAGACAAACCCAGAAACAGTTAACTATCTTTTTCATCAGTGGTTCTTCCTGGATTCCTTATCCAGGAAAACACATTGCCTAGAGTTTGTGTCTGAGCCAAGCCTTTATAACAGAGAATGTGGTGATCTGTGGTCAAGCTGTAACTTGATAGAAACAATTGTTCTTTCATTTCAGGTACAGGTTCCAGGACTGTACAGCAGTCATTTGGTTTTCTCCAAGGGGACTTTCAGCAACACTGTGGCAGACTTTCAAAGAAGTGAGGGACAGTGGTTTCACAGATTGGAAATCTTTTATTTTTGATTTCTTAGCATTTTTTTCAAGTCTTTACTTTCTAATTCACTTTATTAAATGATACTAAGACTTGACAACTGTGAGTTCTCTGCAGTTTATAAGGCTTAATCCTCATATAGAAATCCTTGAGAAGAAGGTGTGGTTATAGCCATTTTACAAAGGACCAAACTGAGGCTCTGTTCTCCAATGAACATTCTTGTGATGTGACCCTTCTGGGTCACAGAACTGGGCACCAGAGCCAAGCACAGCTGGGATCCTGGAAATAATGTTCACATGGAAATTGACCTCAACAAACCCATTCCTATACCTGGAAGGAAGTCCAAAGCCAGAGTAGCAGCCTCAGGCCCATCACCAAAGCAAAGACCCAGTGGACTCTGGGCCTATCTGTGGGGAAAGCCATGCCCAGGAGAAGTTTCTGCTCCCTAAACACCTCCTCTCAAAATCCAGTTCCCTTTGGCTTTTCTCTGTGTATTTTTTGGCTTTGTTTTTGCTCTCTTGAGCTGACCATGGGTAACCAGAAAATTCAGGAAACAATTTTCAGGCTCTTGGGAGCTCACTTCCTCATCTTTCCCCCTCTTCAACCCACGTTGATCATTAAATTCTAAAACCCACAAAAATTTGGAAAGTTTTCTTTTTTTTTCTCTTCTACTCATTTCTGCCTTTTTCTCTCATCCAAGACATCTCCTCCTACAGCTTTCTTCTGTAATCTGGTAGCCACCCCCAGACTCTGTGGCTGACTAGGTATTTGCCCTCTCCATGGAAAGTTTTGGAAACCACAAGGTCTCTGGAACCTGGAAGATCTTGCTTGTGCAAATACCACTGGTAGGCTGGGCAGCCTGGGGCAGGTCCCTTTATTTCTGTGAGCTTCCGTTGCTCCATCTGTCCAGTTGGAAGAGTGGTAGAGACCTACAGGAATGTTTTGAGGACTAACAGAGATAATGGATGTAAAACCTCTAGCTCAGCATTTCACAAGCAGTGAACATAATTGCCCTCTCTTTATTTTCTTTCTCATGTGACTCTTTCCTCCGAGGTATCCCCCAGAAAATATCTAGGTGAGTCCAGCTAAGAAAAAACCCCAGTGAGGTGTGTAAACTCAGGCACTGAGGATCTCCCTCTGCCAGCCTGGTTCACTCTGACTTTTGCTCTGACTGAAAACCTCACTGGTGTGGGTTCTGGGACATTTTAGAAGGTGTGTATCTTATGGCCAAAGCTTTTACTTCTAGCTGCCCAAAGGGCAATAATATCTGCCCCATCTTATATGTCATAAGAATCATGGCTTTACCTGTCACACGCTCCTGGGGGATGTGCTTGGTAAAAGTGGCAGTAGGGTGGTAGTCATGCCTAACCTGAAGGAACGGCACATGGGAGGTGGAGTGCCAGGGTCAACAGGTGTGATATTTTGGACAACAGACTTTCCTAGATATGGCAGACTATTTGTTACTCTAGTGTGTCTTCTTCTACCATGAATAGGGCCCCCAAGTCTCCAGACCTACAGCAGAGGGCAATATACAGAACAACTAAATCACACCTATTGAAAAGCTGGGGAGACCCAGGCAAGGCCACACCTCTTGCTTCTCTTTCCAAGGGGACACTGTTGATTTTCAAAACAAAGTATTAGGGAAATACCTGAAATTGCTAAAAATTCTCAAAGCTATTGAAGAGGGTTTCTATTTGCACTCTGCATAAAAATTGGCTTCCCTAAATCTGAATCAAATGTCTTTTATTATGAAGCCATTGACAATCATTTAAAAAAATTTATTCTCCCTTCAGCATATTTTTATTGAACACTTAATATGTGTTTGGGTACTGTGCTAAGCTAAGGGGACAGCTGCTATAGGCAGTATGGTTTAGGAGCAAAGATTTTGGACCTGGGCTGATCTGGGTTTGAATTCCACTCTTGCCTTACTAGCTACAACTACTTTAGCATTTTGGGTCTCAGTTTATACATCTGTGAAATGGGCTGAATGTGGCATCACTTGCCTGGCAGTGTCATGGAGACTGAGTGACGTAGAGTGTGTCAGTTGCTCTGCAGCAGGTGGTAACAAGTGGGTGCTCTATAATTGATGGTTATCATCTTTATGCTTCTTGGGAGAAGCATGTGAGTCAGAGTCAGAGGTCATGAGCACAGAGAGCCTGTGTCATACAGAAGGGAGGATTTCCAAGCAGGTGTTTCTACAGACCCCCTGACCCAGGCTCCCAGGTACAACGTCATAGTAACTCTGCAGCTGTGGCTTCAAGTTCATCTGAACTGGAACCGAGCTGAGGAGTTGAGAGACTGCCTGGGGGATGCACAATCTAGGAGCTGGAAAAAAGGATGTTAACTACCCTATTGGCTTTGGGGGTGGAAGAGAGTACCATCAGTGTATGTGGAGGTGGAGACGGGGACAGGTGAAAGCAACATTTTGGGTCCTCACTCTGAGCATCCTAGGTGAGCTACAGGAACCTCCAGAAGAGAATGACAAAGCCATCTTACCCAGTTGCTGGGATTTCTTCCCTATTTTCTGCCCATTCTGGGAACCCTCAAGATTATGCATGGAGGTGTGTCAGCATTTAACTTCCGGGAGGCAAAAGAAGCTCCTGGAAACTCTGGACCTTTTTAAGGTGGACAAAGACTATTGTAAAGAACTGGCTCAAACCAAAGAAGAAGAAAAAGTTGCAAATGCAGGAATTGACAGAAGAAACAATAAAAGTAGTAACTTACACGCACATCAGTATGGAAATGGTTACGTGAATCATGTAGATGGGATTATCTCCAAAATCTATTCACAAGTAAGAAATATACACACACACACACACACATATATAAAACAAAACACGAAAGGGTGGGTAATATGTTAAACATTGTGCCCGTCAAAAAGAGTAAAAATAATGTAAATTCATGTCTAATTTTATCTATTTGTGTATTTCTGGAAGGACGCACAAGAAAGTACTATTATTGGTTGCCTCTAGAAGAGAGCAAGTGGGTGGCAGGAATATAGTTGAATGGAGACTTCACTGTATATCCTTTTTAAACTTTTTAAAATTTTGAGCCAAGTAGTCCATTAAAAATAAAATTTACATTAAATCACTAAACAATAATAGTTGACATTGTTGCTATGGGTAAGAAAATTCTGCTAAATACTTGACATTAATGATCTCATTTAAACCTCATGGCTAACCACTGAGTTAAATTCTATTTTCTATGAGAGAATGGAGGCTTAGAAAGGAAAGGAGACTTGCCCAAGGTCATATAGCTGGTAAGAGGTAGAGCCATGATTAGACTCCCGGGAATCTGCTCAAAGACTACTGGCTTAACTACTAGACCACACTGCCTCTTACCACCGTCTCTGTGGCCCTGGGCCATCAAGACTACCGCCTTGTGGAGAGGTGCCTTGTGAACCAGAGGAGGCTCCAGAGCAGCTCCTTATCAGGAGGAAGAGGGATGAAAAAGTATTTATAATGGTTTGAGGGGGAAAGAGAGGAGAGGAGAAAGGATACAAAAGGAAAGGGAAACTGTATAAAGCTGATGAGATGAAGTGAAAATTAAACATCTGCTGTGCTCAAGAGAGTCACTTCTCCTGCCCAGTCCTGGAGCACAGACATGCTGGCACACACATGCACATACATGTGTGCACGTGTGCACATGCACACACACGTGCGC